TGACAAAGTTAGCCAGATCCCTGTACAATCTCCTTTACATTTATCAAAACTACATAATATGAGGATCTACCCAATCAATTTGTATCCCATCAGGCAGGCCCTTGCACTACATACTTGTTAGTAGACCTACAATCAGATTGTAATGCGTGTCATGAGCTTAAGACATGAAAAAGAGAGCTAGATGGAATGCAGAGGTGTCAAACTCTCCACTAGCAAAATACATCTAATTAAAGGAGAACTACTTCTCCTTAGGGTAAAGAGAGGACACAAACTAGCGTCCTCACGTCACCCTAAGCTCAATATACCACGAGCTACAGCTTGCGGTGTACTGAGACGCCGCAGCTGAAGCAGATCCCGACAATTATGCCGGGATCCGCTCAGCTGCCTGAGTGACAGCTGGCTCTGCCTATCTAGAGGCAGAGCCAGCTGTGCCCGCCCCCTCCCCCGTCCAATCCGCTAGTCAGCGCTGGCGGATCACAGCGGGGAGGGGGGAATCCAGCCCCTCCCCTGTCACGGCAGAGAGCTGTGACAGGATCGAGAGGTGAGCGAACGCCGGTATGTGTTCGCTCACCTCCCGATCTACTGAGCCGACCTGTGACGGTCTCATTGTCACAGGTCGGCTAGAACTATGAGGTGAGTGAAAAGCACTCACCTCATAGTTCTCCTTTAAGCCTCATCATCATATGACCAGGTTCTAAACAAGCTGCAGAACAACTCAAGAATAAGCATGTGAGTTTGTGTTGTTTTGACCTAAATTTGAACTACCGGAGCCAAACGCTATACATAATCCATAATTCCTGCTGTAATGGAGATAACCTCATAAAAAGTGGTTATACTAATGTATGGGAAGATGTCAATCAGTTAGACATCACACATGCCTATGCTACAAGGTTTAGCAGGGTAAACACAACAGTCCTCCTAAGTGAGATGCACATTACATCCATAGTTGGGCTCTAACGAATTGTAATTTCACTTTGATCAATAATATGTTGGTTGTCAGATTGTAGAACTTTGTCAAATGGAAATACAGACCTGTTTAAAAAAATCGGCATTAAGGGTGTGTCTGCCGGACCATAATGTTATCAGTATATGCCTTTTGCACATCCCTTTAATTGGCTGTGTTGATTCTGTAAATGACTTCTTCAGGGACCATAAAAAGATGGCTGCGTTTACAGCTCTGCACTCTCAATCACCATTGAAAAGTCTAAAGGTGATTTTTTTGTGTGCCAGTGATTCTGGTACATCAGACTAAACTTATTCTGCAAGCAGATTGGATTCTGCACAGTGTATTGGACATGATGGCTGGACTGGAGGATCCTTAGACCACTGCAGTAGAGGGGGAGTGAGACTCAAATGACTGGTCTAAGAGCAAGCTGGCCCCCAGGACCGAATTTACTCTCCCTGCTGCGCCAAGGCCAGGTTCCGCAATGCAC